AAGACAGAAAATACTTTTAATGCAAAAATGTGGGCTTAATGATGACTAGTTTAGCTTAAAGATTGCTATTTTTGACAGGTAGCATCACTTTAAATCAGACACACGAGACACATCTCAACATCTTAAATACCATTTCCAGGATATTAATGATTCAATGACCATCATCTTTCGGCAGTTTTTAACACAGTTCTTTTAACCATTTAAAGTACAAATAATCTCTTGTTTGTTTATTAGTGAAAGGGAAGACTGTAACCCTTAATTGTAATATCGTATTTTTACCTGTAGAGGGCGTTATTGGTTATAATGTACCACAGCTAATTTTTTTCTGATATTTAACTCCTCTGGAACTGTTCAACTATAAACTCCAACATTGAAAAATGAAATCTGAAATGATCTTAATGTTGATATAATTCTAAGAAAAAGTATTTTAGAAAGGGTTTGTATAATAATGAGAGGTCCAAGTTGAAAAAGCAGAGGGTAGAATTTTTTCCCCTTGAAAACCAAAAAAAGACAATTACTTCAATTTTTCCGGTTTTTTATTTCCAAATCATAAACTTAAAAACGAAGCCTATTTTTGTCCCTGGAATTTTCGGAAGGATAAACGAGAAAAACTGCAAATTCCTTTTGCCATTTTGTTCTTCAGAGTTGAAAGAATAAAACAGGTTCACAGATGGTTCGGAAGTATGGGTAAATATTTCAAAATAAAAGTCAAGGTAAACGCGTAACATTATCCAAGTCCGAAGAAAAACAGAATTTGAGGCATCTAACTGTCATCTAAATAAAAAGGGAACCTTTTCAACGTGATAGTTTATAGTAAAAACATAATATGTTTTATTGATGAAACAACAGATACTATGCAGAGATTAGTTGAGGACAGGTCCATATTTTATCCTTATAACTAATAGAAAGCTGTTTGCAGATACGGTTAGGGTAAACGGTCAAACATCATCAGACTGACCGACTTCAGTGCAACATTTTAACGCAAATGTTAAATTAAATCGACTAAAAATATTTGCTGTAGTTTTCTTTTTGAAGCGCTCCAACTGCACTGTCTGGTTACCATGTTAACCAACAGGTCTGCAGGAATGCGTACTCTGGCGCTTTGGAGGGCCGCACCAAATCGCGATGCGTTCACTGCTTTCGGAAATAGTCGAACTTAAATGCTCTACTATATATAATATGTAACATTTTGCCACTTAAATTTTGACAATGATGTCAATCATTATTCAGTTTACTCTGCAAGAACTAAAGGCCACAGTTTGCTTCCCAGCTCCAAGGTTTATATTTATTTCTTATAGACTTAAATTACATATTTAAAAAGATATATATTCCTCTCCTGAATTCCTAAATGTTTTGCATCTGTAGTCATTTTTTTTCTTTTGAGGTTTCTCTACAATATTTAAGATCATTGGTTTGATTTGATTGACTGATTTTTGTTCTTCTAATGGTTTGGGCATCAGTCTGTATTTCATCCTGGAATAGATTTTCTTCTAGAGGTGAATATTAGACCAACCATTAAGATGTAATTATGCTTTTTAACTTTAATGTGCCCTTTTTCTGTCTAGCTAAGTATTTAGTATGACATTTATTTGCTATTTTTACTTGCTAGTAATACAACTTATTGTAATTTGTTGGAATTAATAAATAGTGGATTTCTTTTTCTTTGCATTTGTTTGCAAATAGTTATTTAGTGTACTTTTTTGTATTGCAACCTAAATGCAATATATATATATATATATATATATATATAGTGCAAATAGTTCCTTTTGTATTGCAACCTAGATGCAAGTTCTTATTGGTTTGGTGTTATCAATGTGAGGCAGAGAAATCTTTTTTTTACCAGCTCTAAAATGATTTATGTAGCCCACATAATAGTTATTCAATCCTTCACGACCGATTTAGATCTCATAATTTAGTTGATGTGTTTTGTTTGTTTTTCAGTCCTCTAAAGCTAAGATTGACGCTCTAGTTTTCCTCTCTGGTTCGTTCTTTCCCAACAGACGCAAAGAAAATCCGATTTCCGAGCAGCACTCGAACGCATCCTTGAATCCACTGTTTTTTTTAAAGGAAGGCTGATGTCATTTTCAAACTTAAGCACACTCACCAAGTCAGCAGCGCGGTTAGTTGCTCGCTTGCTTTCGCAGGGTGAAGTTATCCAGCGCCTCTGACGGAGCACTTTGGAAAAATATAAACTTCAACAAGAGCAGAAACTGGGAACAAACCTACAACTTTTCCACGGGAAACGAGTAAAAGGGATTTTTCTGAATTAGATAACTGAGGAGTGGAGCCCCTATTTCTGGTGGAAAAAGGAGGCTTAACTTCCCCCCCTTATTTTTTCTCCCTCCTTCCTTCGTCCAGCAAAATGAATCGGAGCTTTAACAAGTCGCAACCTTTGCGACACCCTGATTGTGACGCCGTGGAAGTGAAAAGCAAGGTGAGGAGATGTTTTATTTAAATAAAGCCAGAGCTCTATCATGGTTTTCCTGGAGGGAGGATCTGTCTGCAAGCAGCTGCACATTTTCCGTCTATAAAGCTTTGATCTAAACCGGGTTCTGGGTGTTTCTCTGTAAACTGTTGCGATTGTTTTTAAGCAGAGCATTTTAAAAACAAACTTTAAAACTGTTTTCCGCCTCTGTCTCAAAAGAATATCAAAGTATCACTTGTCGGATGTTTTGATCAAGTCGAGTTGCTTTATGTTAGCTTCACTTATTTATAACTTTTAGTTTAACTTGGACGCTTCATTTTAATGTTTTAAATGCATTTTAAGATAGTTGTTTAGTTTGATTAATATTTACAGCAAATGAAACAGGAGCATGATGTATATAAATAGAAAGTTTAGTGGAAGGAAAAGGTCCCCTCAGAGGCTTGGTGATTTATGAAAAATGTGGGATACAACTGTCGAAATCGAACACAGAAAGACTCATACGAATCGCAACATTTTCATAACCTGCTTGGTGTTTACCTTGAAGCCTGCTTCTTTATATCAAATATTCAGTTATGCATTTTCTTCCTCGAGTGCTGCATATGAGAAGAAAAAACAAGGTTTACCTGAAAGGTGATTACAGCAGCCTTGTAAGGATTGTGATGCAAAGCAAAGACCAGAATCTTCTCTAAGATGCACTTTGGGATAATGATCTCCAGATTTCTCATTCCTTGGCTGGGTTAGTCCAATGCATTTAACATGGCGGGTGGGGGGGGCTCATCCATCACTTTGCTTCCAAAGGGTGCAAAATGCTGCAGCTAATTTGTGGTACTTGGAAGCTTTAGACCAGGGGTCCTAAACTGGTTCCAGAAAGGGCTGTGTGGCTGCAGGTTTTCTTTCCAACCAAGCAATCGCATTCATGTCATGAAGTCATCATGTTCAGGTTGGACTCACTTGATGAGATAAATGGTGTCTGGTGTGCTATTGCTTTCTGGAACCAGCTTCAGACCCCTGCTTTAGACCTTTCCCCACATTGTCATCCCTTTAGGGGCTGCTGATTTAATTTTGAGGATTCATTTTTTTTTATTCTTTTAAAGCCCTGCAGTCTTTTAGCATCCCATCCATCTTTCATGGGGAGTGGTGGCCTAGTGGTTAGGGCATAGAGCTAGGAATCCTGAGGTTCTGAGTTTGAGCCCCACTCCCATGGGCTGCAACTCTGGGTCCCTGAACAAAGACCCTTAAGGGCAGATTATACGTATGTGACTGCACACATCAAATATCGCTTTGGTCTGGTCGCGAATCCGTTTTGCTGGTATGCTTCTGTCAGTCTGGAATTTCTAGGGACACACAGCCGTTTCACACCAAAGCGCAAGGGAAGCCATCCGAGAACTCGCAAGAACTTTGGTGGATGGCCACGAGAACTTTGGCGGCGCTGGCGGGAGTGTTTATCTTCCAAAACAACAATGGGGCGTCTGCAAGATATCACAGTCACCGAGATTGATCTAGAGTTGCTAGGCATAGAAGAGGAACTGGTTCTGTTAATGGAGTTGGCAAATAGACCAATTAACCTTTCGTCGTAGTCGTCCATTGTAGTTGTTCCTCTGTTTTTTTTTTTTTTAAATGCCGCCCCCGGCACCAAATCGAGAAGAGCGACCACACAGATAGCCGGAAAGGCATACCAAGGACCAAACACAGCTGCTTTTTTTCTGCGCAGTTCCGCTTGAGGTCCTCAGGGGTTTGCGACCGTACGAACCTGCACAGAACCTCTGTGCGGGGGGCGTGGTCACGCATAAAGACAGATTTGACAGTTGCAGAGGCTATGGTTCAGAAGCATTAATTGGCCAGTTGCAGAGGCTATGGGTCAGAAGCATAAATTGGCCTTTAACCTCCGATTGCTCCTCAGGCGCCCCGCAATGGCAGCACACTGCTCCCCAATGGGATGGGTTGAATGCAGAGAGTTTATTTAGTTTCTCTTTACTTGTGACTGTGTAATGACAAAACGCTGGATCTGAACTGTTGCAGCTTAATATACCTACCTAGGACTGAGCATAGTAAGCTTTGGTTGTTTTTGCTGTTGCGGCACAAATTAAATATATTCTGCATCAATTTCAATTGATGTTTTAAGCATTCATTCACCTTAACCTGTAATGATCAGAACTTCTCCAATCTATGTAAACTTCTCCTTACGGATCTGAAATCTTCAGTTATATTTCATCAGTTCTTCAATAAGCTTTCATTTCTCTCACTGCTGAGTTTGGAAGTGTGAAAGGCGGTTTTATTTAGGCTGATAGCTCTGGTTGGTGGTTGGCTGAAAACAGGTGGAGAACATCTCCTCATTGATCAAACATGAACACACACGGCGAGACGTCAGAGGTGCTTTATTTTTGTATTGTTTGGCTGTGGGGATTGTTTGTGGGTGTGACTGCTGCTGTACAGCAATAGAACAGGGCTTTATCTGCATCATCACGTCCATGCAGGGCTGAGTCACAATCTCATTATGTCACGTTTCCTCTCTTTTGATCAAAAGTAATTTCACAAACGCGTACTGTTGATCCACACTGCTCGCAGAATTACGTGACTTTTTAGTTTTTGTCACTTTGTTTCCTGCAGAGGCCAAGCAGTTTATTTTCAACTAAAATGGACCGGGCGATATATATATAAAATAATTTATCTATGAAGATTTTCTGCTTTGTGTTATAAATATACTTGCACATATAGCTTCCTGTTCGGTTAGTTTTTTATGCATGGTTGTTATTTGTGGCAAATCTTTGATTCAGGGGTGGCTTTTCAGAATTACTTTATGAAAAAGGAAAACCTCAATATAAATATTGTATACAGCCATTCAGGTAAAAAAAATAGATAAAAATATTAAGTTTCTTTCATATTAAGGATGTCTTGATACCAGATTTGTTCTTATTGAGTACAAGTACTTAAATTTTAGTACCTGCTGATGCCAAGTACTGATGCAAGCGTTAAAGGAGAATTCCGGTTTTTAACACTTTTAGCCCATTTTCTGTAGTGTCCAGGATGAAATCGAATGATCGACACCAAAATTTTGACAATTGGTCCTGTCTCTGCTTTTTGGCTCATGCAGAATCCCCCCCTGGCTGCTTCAGAATGGCTTCCATAGTGCATGTCCGATAATGTCCTTAAAACAACCTTAAACGTTCTTTTTTTTAAATATGCTACTCACCGGGTCGTCAGCGCTGTTCAATGACGTTCCAAAAAAAGTTTCGTGAAGAAAAAACGTTCCTGTAGTGTTTTATTTAGCATTTTGTAAATCCCATTGAGTTCTGTTGGAATAGTCAATATCCCTCCGCCACCGGAAACGGAAATGGGGAAAAGACTACACTTAGTTGTAGTCTTTTCGCTTCACTCTGTGTACTCCGACGTCGAGGTGCTAACGTCTCTGTTAAACACTTTAAAAAACTCTGAAAATGGAATACGAAAGGTGGATTCTTGATGAGGACATATTGGACTTTGAGTTTGACGGTAGAGGATACCGTTTTGAACCGGAATATACTGAGGAGGAGTATATAGAGACATTGTCGCCAACTAGTGGTCTGGAGTGTGCAACGCTTCAGATTCGAACGGGAAGCGGAAGTTTATAAGCGGTTGTGATGTATCGGAAAAAATAGTTCTGGGATTTACAAAATGCTAAATAAAACAAGACAGGAACGGTTTTTCTTCACGAAACTTTTTTTGGAACGTCATTGAACAGCGCTGACGACCCGGCGAGTAGCATATTTAAAAAAAAGAACGTTTAAGGTTGTTTTAAGGACATTATCGGACATGCACTATGGAAGCCATTCTGAAGCAGCCAGGGGGGGATTCTGCATGAGCCAAAAAGCAGAGACAGGACCAATTGTCAAAATTTTGGTGTCGATCATTCGATTTCATCCTGGACACTACAGAAAATGGGCTAAAAGTGTTAAAAACCGGAATTCTCCTTTAAAAAAAGGCTTTGTCAAATTGAAAAGTTTTGATCTTGTTTTCTGAAATGCTAAGCCTACAAAGTCAGACTTTTACCTTGGATCCAGTACAGTGTAGTTGCAGTAGAAGGGGCTTATTTCTAGTGTTGCACCGATTTCATTATTGGACAGGGCCCCATACTGCACTAAAATGGTGGTATCAGTATTGGCGAGTACCGACAAATAGGGCAACGATACAATTTTAAGAGCTAAAAGTTTATTCAACTATTGTCACCCATTCCAGGTAGGCAATAAAAAGTTCTACTGGATTCACTTTCTTTTAGCCTTTTTCCTGCTTCTCAAAGGTAGGCAGCAGCTTGACAAAGCCATGATGGTAATTATTTTACATCCAATTAGTATGTAGTTCTTCATATACACACATCAATTTCAAACAGATCGTATCGGTATGGTATCAGCCGATACTGCACAGCCAGGTATCGGGTGTCGGTATTAGGTCCAAAAAAAATGGCATCTGTGCAACACTACTTATTTCCAACAGGAAAGGGCTTCCTGACAGCTGTAGCTATCGAAACGTCATTGTTTTGATCCTGTGATCTTTGTCAAATATAGAACTTGTATTTTTTTTTTGTTTTACAAGTAGGAGTACTTGACACTGGCATCAGCCCTGATATCAGTATCTGTGGATCCCTAGTCCATAACGCTTTGCCCCCATATCCCCCAGTCTGCTTCAAATTCCAAGTATTGAAATAAAAATGCAGGTGTTTTTAATACTGAGTGCATTAATGAGTTAGTTTTGAAAGTTAAGTGGATCGAGAACGCATCCCAGTGCATCTTTTTTAAAATAAGTGAGGCTCTGTGACATTGCTGTCATTACATCAGTAACTTTGTTCAAATGTGAGTAGCAGTGAGAGGCTGACAGCCAGCAACAAGATGCTAATGATGTCGCCAACAATCTGTTTTATTTATTTTTTATGTATCGAGTTATGATGAGTTTCCTTTTAAGATCTTTAAGACTACTTCATGTTTTTTAGGCAGAATTTCAGTGATTCTTATTTCACTGACTGGTCTGGCACTAATAAA